CCCCCCCCCCCCCCCGCCACCCTGGCCCGCAGCCCGCAAGAGCCACAGCCAGGAGGCGCAGGACTTCCCGGATGAGCTGAAGCTGCCCGTGGCCTGGGACCACGTGGACATCACCAGGAGCGAGATCTTCAACGGGCACGTGCAGCGGAAGGTGCCGCCCGACTGTGGCCAGCTCCGGGCGGGGACGCGCAGAGGGCTGCGGCAGGTGGTGTCCGGGGCCATCCTGGCCCAGCTGTGGCTGCGCGGGCCGGGGGAGACGAGGGCACCTCCCGCTGCTGCCTCACTCGTCTGGCCCCCAAGGCAGGATGGGCTGAACTGCGGCGGGTGTGGGCCACCTGGCGCAGCGGGACGGGGGTGGGGGGGGCCTTGCCGAGGGTCCCCACGCCCGGCCCCACCGGCTCCCTCTCACTCTCCGCCCAGTCCCGCGGCCTGGAGGAGGTGATGACGGACGCGCTGGTGAGCAGCAAGCCCCAGTTCGTGTGCCTCTTCGTGGACAGTGGCGCCGACGTGGCGGACTTCTGACGTACGGGCGGCTGCAGCAGCTCTACCGCTCGGTGCCCCCCAAGAGCCTGCTCCTCGACCTGCTGCAGTGCAAGCACGAGGAAGACCGGCTGACGCGGGCCGGGCTGGGCGCCCAGCAGGCCCGGGAGCCGCCCGCCTTCTCCCTGCACGAGGTGTCGCGGGTGCTCAGGGACTTCCCGCACGCCGCCTGCCGGGGGCTCTACCAGGCGGTGAGCTGTGAGTGGGCGGCGTGAGGGGGGCGCCGGCGGGGCCGCGGCTGCGGGCTGACACCCCCGTCCTCCGGGAGCAGGGCCCGGTCCGGCGGCCCACGGGCCAGTAGGGGCTGCTGGACCTGAACCAGAGGAGCGAGAGCCCCTGGAGAGACCTGTTCCTGTGGGCGGCGCTGCAGAACCGCCACGAGATGGCTACCTACTTCTGGGCCATGGTGAGGACTCCGGGGAGGGGCCGGGTCCCTGGGGAGGGACGGGGAGGCAGCCGCATCCTCAGACCTGGCCTCCCAGGGCCAGGAGGGCGTGGCAGCCGCCCTGGCTGCCTGCAAGATCCTCAAAGAGATGTCCCACCTGGAGACGGGGGCCGAGGTGGGCCACACCCTGTGTGAGGCCAGGTACAAGCAGCTGGCCCTGGGTAAGCAGCCGAGGCAGTGGGGGCTGCAGTGACCCTGTGCTCCTTGGGGCCACCGGGCTCCCTGCTAAAATCCTAATGGGGGCAGACGGGTACACGGCTGACAAGGACGCAGCTCCAAGGCTCGGGCCAGCTGGGCCTTGTGGCCGGGCGGGCGGGGACACTCGGGGAGAGGGAGGCCCCCACGATCCCGACAGGCAGGCACAGGGCAGAGGGCCGGCCGGAGGAGGAGGGCAGGCCGGCCGGGCCTGGGCATCGTGGCAGCGGCCGCGCCCTCGGGCAGACCTCTTCTCCAAGTGCTACCGTCACAGCGGGGACTGCGCCTCCGCCCTGCTGGTGCGCAGGAACCGCTCAGGGAGCAGGGCCACGTGTCCGCGCCTGGCCACCGAGGCCGACATCTTTGCCCACATGGGGTGCAGGTGAGCCCCAGGGAGGGCTGTGGGGCGAGGGGCTGGGCAGACAGGAGGTGCCCCAGCTGACCCCCCTCACGTGCCTCCCCCAGCCTGTGTCCCCGCCATGGGGTGGCGGGCTCCTTCAGCTGGCCACTCCCCCCACGTCCAGCCCTTTCTCCACCTCCGGTCTCGGCAGAAACCCCGCTTCCTCAGCTCAGCCCTCCCGGACCCCCGAGCTTGGCCTCCCCCATCGAAGGGTCTTTCTTCCCCAGCAGGATGGAGGCTCCAGGGAACTCCAGGAGCCAGGGCTGGGAGGGGCGATGCTTGCACTGAACCTGGAAGGGCAGGCCTGCTGAGGGCACAGCAGGGCAGAGGTGTGGAGGCGGGGGCGGGCGGTGGGGGGGCAACCGTGCCTTTATTTCAGGCCTTCCTGACTGAGATCTGGTGGGGGGACATGGCCTCGGGACGCCCATCCTGCGGCTGCTGGGTGCCTTCCTCTGCCTGGCCCTTGTGTACACCAACCTCATCACCTTCAGGTCTGTCAGGACAGAGCAGCTGGGGGGCCTTGGGCTTCACTGGGGCTGGTGGCGGCATGTCCCCGGCGCCGGCCCCCGCCGCATCCAGCATCCGTGTGGGCCCCCCTATGCACGGCCCCTACCCGTGTCCCTTCGCAGGGTGTCCAGCACTTTCTCTGCTAGCTGGGTGCCTGGGACCAAGTGGAGGGCCTCTGGGTGCCCTTCCCATGTCCCTGAGGGCCCCCTGTGCTCCCAGTGAGGAGGCCCCTCTAAGGACAGGCCCAGAGGACCTGCAGGGGCTGGACAGTCTGGACACGGAGAAAAGGCTGCTCTGTGGCCCGGGCAGTCGGTGAGGGCCCTGTGGAGGGTGGGCAGTGGCAGGGAGGCTGGGTCCCGGTGGGCAGCGGCAAGCTCGGGGCTCTGGCCACCCATCTCACCACTGGCCGGCCTCCTTCGTGGCGCCGGGCGGAGCAGCTGGCCAAGGCGCCAAGAACTCAGCGCGGCCGAGGCCCACGAGCTGCCTTCTTGTTCACGCGCTGGCGGAAGTTCTGGGGGGCGCCCGTGACCGTGGTCCGCCCGTGCGGGTGGGCGTGGGGGGTCCTCTGTGCCCACTCTACGTGGGACCCCCACCCCGAGGTGCAGCTGAACCGAGTCCAGTTATGAACGCTCCTTTTGTAAGACCCTGGACATGTGGCCCTTGAGAGGGGTGTTTGAGGGTCACAGGAGACCCCGGCCTGGCGTGGCTGAGAGCGGGGGGTCCCCGAGGCCGGCCCCCCAGGCCCTGACCACCCACACAGGGCCATGTCCGGCAGGGGACAGCTCCGGGCTGATGTGTGTCAGCTGCGGAGGCCGCAAACTCGGGCCTCGGGCTGGAGATGGAGACGGGGCTGCAGGGAGAGAGAGCAGGCTGGGTGGGGTGGCGGGAGGCTTGCCGGGAGGGGGGATGGGTAGGCACTACAGGTCACCTGGGGTCTGGGCCCTCCAGCTGCCCCGTCTGCCCGGCATGTCCCCCGTGGGCATCAGGTCTCCTGTCAGCCCCCATCCACCCGGCCCCACACCCAGCCCCGGGCCCACCTGCTGGAAAGGCCCTTAGCTAGGAAGCCGCTCCTGATGGCATCTGTGCTTCTGGGGACCCACCCAGTGTGTGTGCCCGATCTCCGGCCCGGTGTGTGTGGTCCGTCTGAGGGGTGTCTCCAGGGCGGCCCCTGTACGGGGGGTTGGGGGCGCTGGGGCTGGTGGAGGCTCTGAGAACTTCCCACAAGTCAGCACAGTGTGGGGGGCAGAGTGGCTCAGCCACGGGGGCTCAGGGAGACCTGGGTTGGCGGCGGGGATGCCTGTACAGGCTCTGGGATGGCTGGGACTCAGTGAGGGGGAGGGGGAGGGGGGACCAGCCCCTCAAGCAAGGTGGGCCAGCAGCCAGGGGCCAGTGTGAGGGCCCAGGGCACCCGCCCTGCCGGGCACTCCTGGCGCAAGGAGGGGGGAGGAGGGATCATTCGCCCAGGCTGGTGTCAGACTGAGGCCACCTGGGGCCCACCGGGCGATCACGGGCACACTGTCCCTGAGGCCTGACCGCGGCCACTGCAGCTAATGACGCAAGGTCAGCGCCCCACGACCTGGTAAATATTTGCCAATGGGATGAGGACGTGACTGAAGCAAACAGGCCTCCAGGATGGGGCGGCGGTGGGGCTGGGCCGTCATGGGAGTTGCCTCCTAATTAGGGTATTCTGCAGAGGCTCATTTCCTCGGCTGTTTTCTTAGTCCCCCAGCCCCCGGCACTGGGTCCGGTGTTTGCTCATCCGTGGGCACCAGTTTCCAGGCCATTAGTTTAACGAGGCCCTGCCCGCCCTCCAGCCCTCCCCGCCCGCACCATATGGCCCCTGCTGGCGGATGCTACCATGACCCCCAACACTGCCCCAGTCCCACGGGGCCCCTCGGAAGGAGGGGAGTGAGGTGGGCGCCCCCAGGACCAGGCAGGGGTGGGGGGGTCACTCCTGCCCCCACGGCCACACACTGGTACAAGGGAACTCTGTCATGGTTCGGGGTCCCCAGGAGCCTGGGGCCACCTGGGCAGGACGGAGGGAGTGTAGACTCCCGGGGTTCCAGCCTGAAGTGCTGCTGTGGCTGCCAGCCCGAGTTCCACAGTGGAGAGTCCGTGACCAGGGCCGGGCCTGGGCCGGCACGGAGGGTCCGGGACAGGTCCCTGTCTCCCTCCCTGTCTCTCCTCACCCGCCCCACCCCCACCCCCGGCCCCTCCCTGTGAGCCCACGGTGGTGCAGCCAAGAGTAATTCCCTCACTTTCGGCCGAGAGGGAAGGCAGCCCGCGGGGATCCCCGGTGGCTGCCCTGCCCTCCCTGCCCCACATGCGCCCGCAGGAGCTGGGGGCTGAGCGTCCAGGGCAGAGCTCCGTCTCTGGGCTCTAGGAGGTCAGAGACGAGGACAACTCATTTCCCAGCCTGGTGGCGCCTTTGAGAGTTATGGGGGAGACGCAGGGGTCTCGTGACCACGGAGCCGCTTCCATCAGACAGGTTTACAGCTTCACAGACACGCTTTCCAGGCCTGGCCCTGGCCCATCTCTCGGGGTGCCGGAGGGAGGGAGGGAGGAGGGTCACCCATCAGCGCCGGGCAAATCTGCGGGCGGGGAGGGAACTCACGTGGGGACGCACCAACCCCCATCACAGTAACTCACTCAGGAGGGACTCGCCCCCGTGAGGGAGACACGCGCACACGGAAACAGGCCCTGCCAGCCTGACACGCAAGCAGGGAGGTGGGGACACAGGCACACACAGAGAGCCAGAGGCCCCCAGTGCCCCCTGGACTCAGTCACTACATGAAGACTGGGAGGGGCAGAAACACAGGCCTACGTGCAGGCGTGTGTCCGGGTCCACGCACATGCACGCACGCACACACACGCGCACGGCCTGTGGAGGTCACCACCTGGAGCCGCAAGCCCTCTTGATGGGCAGGCGCACTCCCCCCACTTCCTCCCATCTCCTGGGATGTGGTGGGGGTCCAGGCTGGCCCTGCAGGGATAGAGGCAGGCAGGGGAGGGGCTGCCCCACCCAGAGGGCACTTTTCAGGCTGGCTTGTCTCCATGCCCACAGTGATCCGTGTCAAGGGTGTTCTGCCTCCATAGGCTTTGGAAATGGTGCAGACCTGCCCCCCCCCCCCC